AAAAATACTGAGACATGTGATCCCATCTTACTAGCATAGAATATATATATATATATAATATATATATATTGCCACAAAGTTTGCAGCCAACCCCCCCAATTTATATCAATTTATCCACAGAACAGTTATGGCCCTATATGGCCCTCAGCAGTTTTGACTGGCATCAAAAAAAATGTGACATATATCACTAGATAGTTAATGTATGTTAATGTTGGTTATATATCACTAGTTGGATAATGTTGGTTAATGTTGGTTGCCTAATAAAAGTGATATATAACCAACATTAACCAACTAGTTGCAGGAGTTGTTTCATCCCTTGGCCATAACTGTCATAACTGGCTAGGGCCATGACAGAATGGATCTCACATGCAGTCTTCCACTTCCAGGGTGACTCGCCGAATGTCGGAATTTTGCAAGTGACTCGCCGTCACTGACAACTGATCTGACTTGGACTGGGGGGGGGGCCAAGTTTTGTTTGGTGTACAAAAAGCCATGAATTCGATAGTTGTAATTACCATACACCCTAGGTATTGGACTTAGAATCCAACTGAACTTTTCTTTGTTGGCCCCACCTTGTTTTAACCTTTCCATTTCTTGGAGCTGGGAGCCAGGAAAAGGCTCCTCGCAGCCCGCATGGAACCCAGCCCGCTTCGAGGGTGACAAGCGCCAGCTTCGAGGATTCAATCTATGATGCGCATAACACGCAGTGGGTTCCTAAAACCGATTCTAAAACACCAAACAACATGACTGGTTGGTGGTTGAGCCTACCCCTCTGAAAAATATGAGTTCGTCAGTTGGGATGATGAAATTCCCAATATATGGAAAGTCACAAAATTCATGTTCCAAAACACCAAACTGACCTTTCGAACCACACATCCAAGGTCACTTAACCCCAAAATACGGGTCACTGAACCACCTCAAAAGGGTCACTTTGAAGACCCGGAACAAGGGTTTTTATTCTGACCTTATGATGTTTTAATAGTAACGTAATAGCCTGTATTGGAAACCATGAGCATAAGGCAAAATACACAGATACAAGGGATGCGACAGGATTTTACCACGTGAATATGAAAAACACCAGATCGTGATTTAACAAACATCCACCAGTGCTGCTAATATGCTAGGTGGGGTAAATGGTAATATGATAGAACTTTGACCATGGTGTAATATGACATCATGGTCAGTTGACCATCAACAGAATACTGTCTGGGAAATGGAACCACCAAAATAATCAAAATAATGGTGGACTAATCACAGTTTCCAGCTAATAGTTTAAACTTTTGGATACCCTCTGGTAATCTAACAGTGCATGGAAAACGGTCCGCTTAAAATCATTAGTAGGTGGTTTACCTATTGAAAATGGTGATTTTCCATAGCTATGTTAAGTTACCAAAGAGTACCAGGTATCATGCAAAACAAATATACATATACTGTAAATGTTTGCATCATATCCGGCCAGAAAGGTAAATTACAAACCTACCAAAACAATCCAAAACAGCCAAGTTGGAGCTAGCTTAATAAGTACGGACTATAATGATTGCAACTATAGTATTTCGATGGGTCATTAAACTAACCTACAACCAGCGAGCACCTGCGTGTATATGCTCGCAACTCTCATTGATGACAGATTATGAAACCAGTCTGATGGAATTGCTAAGATGCTTGACAGGCATGCATGTATAGGTTATCTATATGTTGTTGTTATCATGATTTGTTCGTACCCCTGTTAGGGTCCGCATGTTGCAATCACATGAGGGTGGAACAAAGTGTCCCAAAAGGACAATTTTCCACGAAAGGCCCCAGATTGACGCTCACAGATTTGTGTTGGATAATGTAGAGAGAATTATTTACAGTTGAATTGCTTTCTACACCAACTGATGATGGTTCAAACCACATTTTGCAAGTACATACTGTAAATTGGAGTTATCATCTGTAATGTATCAAGGTATCAAGGGAAACATGGCTTTGACACAGGGAAAACCTCCGCGAAATGATTGGAAACCTCCGCGGCGGACGAAAATCAGCCAATCACGCCGAGGCCGAGGTGCCATAAACCTACCGATTGGGGATGGTGACTATGGTAGCACACAGAAAGCGGTGATGACTTGTGGTGACTATGGCACTGGGTGAATCCCACATTGGGATGTGGTTTTACAATGGTTACAATCTACACCTGGGGACAAAAAAAAACAAGTTGGTCAATCAAGAGTATGACTCTATGACAACGAAAGACATCAATTTTCATGGGTGATTTACATTGATGGTGCCCAGTGGCGCCCAGTTCGCCAGGTTGCTTGATTTGCCGAGCTTTCACTAGGGGGGTGGATATATCGAACTGGGTTCCAGCTGGGTTATGCAAGCCAGGAGAGCAGCGGCAAAAAGTGGTTCAAACCTGGTTTATTGTTATTCCAACAATGCATTTTCATGATATTACAATGATATTACCATGATATTACAATGATATTAATTTAATGATATTATAATGATATTACAATTCTGTTATAATGAATGATCCCGTTTTAATAGGGCAGTAAAACCTAACATATTGACAGTGAAGCAACGGCTTTTGAATGCTTTTGACGCTGCTCGGGTAATAATCCAGCAGTTTTGATTGGACATGGTTTCGTGATCTGGCTATGCTCTCTCTCCAGATCCATGTGGAAAAAAACCTGAATTTCACCAAGCAGCTATGGATTCTCAGCTCAATTGAATCCTGGTTAAGTCCAACAAAACACCAAGCATATGGAGACATATGGAGACTGGATCCCTTTTTTAGAACCTAAGATGGACCGGGTCCAAATGAGTTCTATTCATTTTGAGCAATCCCAACGACGATTCCTTAGATGGAGCTTTCCTAAACTGTGGGTACCCCCAATTTAATTACAGTATGTCAATAACATGTTCCATTACAAACCATCATTTTTTTGGGGGGTTAACCGTGGCTAACCCCATATGGGTAAATTATAATAATCCACTAAGCTGAATAGTTCGGCCATAAAAGGGGATGATGTCCCTATGAAAACCCATGGATTTCCAGGGTTCGGGAGAACAGGGTTCGGTCGTGATGAAATTTACCCAGAGTTGTCAGTTATCCCTATAAAACTAAATAAAACCATATTATCCCATGTTTATTCCATGTTTATCCCATGGATGTGGGTATGTCATGTGTATTTCACCACTTACGACGTCCTACCAGATATATGGCAAGCCCATGGAGCCCTGGAGGGCCCATCGGAAAGACGGATCCAAGGCGCTTCTTCCAAGGTGATTTATGGTGGGTTTATGGTGGGTTTATGGTGGGTTTATGGTGATCAATGGGTAATACATCTGGTTGGTGATTGAGCCTACCCCTCTGAACAAATTCTGGAGTGAGTTTCGTCAGTTGGGATGCTGACATTCCCAACTGAATGGAAAGTCGTAAAATTCCATGGTTCCAAACCACCAACCAGATATCATCCATGCTATATTTTTGGATTGGAATGATTAAACCTCATGGCTCATGACACATTCCTAGTCGTTGCGACTTCGCCGTCATGACTTTGGGAACCTCCTCAGTGACTTGTGTATGGCTACAATGTGAGGCCCCCGTTCGATAGCTAAGTTGGTGAACATAACCCCAATTTCACTATGGTTTATGGTACGCAAATAACGAACTAGTTACTGGGGCGAATCTAAACCAACTAACATCACTGGGTGGGGGCCACATTGTATGGATATACACTACTGCCACGGGGGATGAACATAAAATCATCATAAATCCAAGCTTTTGGCGGACCCTGGACCCTGGGTATGATGTCAAAATGCGACAGCCCTAAAATCAAATGGTTAAAGGAACAGAATCGTCCCCATGCGCCTTAAGTTGTTCGACTTCCCAATTTTTTTCCCCACTGAAACCAACTCCCACCATTTCCGTTCCACCTGGGTGCAGAAAGGCTCACTCCAAGGCAATCTGAGGCACCAGGAGATTTCATCCGCACACCCCCAACAAATACCGCAGCATTTGGTCAAAAAATCTGGGCAAACTGGGGGACGTAGACATGCCATGTTAAAATTCTGGCGAATCTTTGAATCTTACCATGCAGGAAACAAAATAGGGGCACGAGTCTATTTTCTCCACAAGAATGGGAGGGGAAAAGCAACATGTTCCCCTGTATGGGGGTTTCTTGGGTCATGGGATATCCAGTCATCACCATAGTTTCTAAGTCATGGTCATCCATGTTCCTTGGATGATGAATGGGGGCACCCCTATGACAAGACGGAAACCTTGTCTCAAGGCTGAGGTCAACACCAAAAAATCAATGTTTTTTTGATTGTGGTTGTGATCATGATGGAGTATGGATCATGATTCAGCAAATGATTCAGCACCATGAAAGCATTTTTTTCCATGGGTTATTTTCAATTTCAACCACCATCGTTCAGCCATGCTAATGATTGGTATAATGATTATACTAACATTATACCAATTACCTTTATATTTATAAACCAATGTTATAAAACCACCAATTTATGGATTGGTATACTATCATCTAAGATCATCCATTATGGCTGGCTGTATCTGCCCAGCCTGCTGAGTTGATCCCTCGTAGTTGGTGGCTTTTTAAGCACCCTGAAAAATCTACGCTCGTCAGTTGGGGGTCATATACCGTATATATTCCCCAAAAAAAGGGATTGACCAACAATGAAATCACCAGGCAAAGTTATGACTTAAGTTATATACATGAATTAGTTGTATCCATGGTCAATCTGACTGGTGCTTCGCAAAAAAATGGCATCTTTTGCTGGTTATGATGAAAAGATTGTCCATTTATAGTCAAAACACTACCTATGAAAGGTTGGGGATGATACGAATTGGTTACATATATTCTTTTGTCGCATTTGTTGTGGTAGGGCCCCCCCATTTTACTGGTTAGTTGAAACCCTATGTTTGTTGGTAGATTCACCCTATCAACTACAGTCATGTTGTTCTATTTTTAGCCTACTTCGAGAATCATCCGACCATGTTAGTCCTTCAGTCGTGGGGTGGTCCTCTCCACGGTAAATTTATGGTTTCTAGGTACGGTACGAGAGGTGAGATGATCCTGCAAGTACAATTCCGTTGGAGTTCCGATGGTTACTTGCCATCAATGGCACCTGAAAACTATGAACAGTTTCACCGAAGAAACACTGGAACTACAATGGGATTAGAATGACACTATTATGCCCATCTAATCTCCAACTGCCACTGTAAGACTGTAATGTAAGATTTAACAAGTTTAGATATCAGTATATCAAAGATAGATTAACTAGTTTCATGTATCTACAACATGACCATTACCACAATTGATCAGAACTATATAGTTATTTATACAGTTGATCACATGGTTTGTCATAGTCATATAGTTGATCATACTTATATTTACCACCCCCACACATCCATTAATCATTAGCTACAGTTGATTACCAACTTTGTCAAACTAGCTTAGTTGATCACAGGTCTATTTATAAGCCTCACTATATAGTTGGATTTCCCACTATAACTATACCACATCGCAACGGGGAATATACTACTGTACTAAAACTGGTATTGCACTGGTATAAACTATCACGGCTTATGAAGATAAAGTATTTCTATTATTGCAATACTAGCCAATTACCACACTGCAATGGTATAATTAAAACATTTCAACTATCTACCATAATGATACCTTTGCTAAACAATAATACTATCTACTATTTACCATTGATAGCATTATATACTATCTACCATACTTATAACATTGATACTATCTACCATAGGTTTGACCTTATCCAGTGTCGTACTATCTTTCACTACCACTATAGTCTTATTTGACATATCTGTACAGTACAACAATAACACCCATTATTGATAACACATAGCGCAACATAATGATTAATTATATAGTTATGTCATTGCCATATTGCAATGATGTCATTACCACCATATCATATAATATATGGTATATATATATATATCATTCCAATTGTTAACACAACCATGCTACTTTGATGACCCACTATATCATGCCAATTATATCTATAGTGCAATGGTATCAGATAAATATATATAAATATCATTACCTGTATGTTATAGTTAAACTTACCAAACTGACATCTCTTATAGCCAATGATATCCTTACCACTATAGTTCTGTGTACCCAGCCTTCGCTTTCCAAAAACAAAACGCCCGGCCTCAGCCCCTGCGGCCGTCAGCTTGTCGCGCATGGCCTTTTTGAAAGAAAAAATGAGGTGATTTGATGGAATACAATGTGGTACCCCCCAGTGATGTTAGTTAGTTTATAACCGCCATCAACTGTAGATATATCTACCATAAGTCCCACTTGTTGTAGTTATGTTCACCAACTTAGCTATCTATGGGGCACCACTATGTATATTGGGAAAAATACAGGGATAAACCAACTTGATATGTGCTATGGTCAAGTTACATGTGGATTCAATATAAAATAAATTAAAATATGTGGGATTTCACTGATTTCACCAACACATTGATGTGGGGATATTTTATGAGGATACAAACACCAACTCAACACTCTGTTGGCACTGCTGCTTCAGCAGCCTTGGTTCCTGATGCAGCAGCAAAGTTTCCTGCATCTGCTGGTAGGCCATTTTCCATGGCTATGTTAAATAACCAGAGGGTAACCCAGAGGGTACATCCCTTCATTTGTAAATATGTTCCCTAATAATCCAATCATAAGGGAATCTGGAAGATACATATCTTAGCTAATAATTTCAAAAATGAAATCACCATTGGAAATTTATCTTTGGAGGGCTCAGTTTATACCCGTGTTTGCTGTTGTCGGTCCTTTTGTTGCTGTTGCTCTTGTTGTTGTTTCGTACATTTCATGATTAGTATGGCTTTTGCTATGGTGCATATTTAAAAGTATTACCATCGTGTTTAATTGGTAGTGTCATGTCCATTGTGTTTATCATTATACTATGTAAATGACGCAGCTGTTTCTGGTTTATTCGTCTACAATATACATATCAAATAAATTGAAATGTGAATGTTTTTTGTTTGTTTGTTGTGTATATATATAAATAATATAAAACTATGTATATATGATGTTAATGAATATAACTATATCTAAACTATATCTATAATCATATAAACTTGAGATATACTATCTATTCAATCACTATTGTTTCTGATGTTAACCTACAAAACTATAGATAACTACATATTAATGTATAGGTAAAACAAAAATAAACGATTCCCCAGTCATTACCATAAATAGTTGGTATGTTTACCATTCCCAGTCATGGGTGGTTTACGACATTGTTTTACCCACATTATACTGGGATTATTGTAGTGATACTGCTATTAATGTCCATTATAATCCATATTATCACTATCAAAATCACTAAAATATATGAACCAACTTAGCTTTGTATAAATCCATATTGTCACTATCCAATATAAATCTATAACGCCCCCCACTTTCTATAAATACGAAACTCAGGCGAAACCGCCCGCCCTTGATGGCCTCAGCGTCTGCAAAGGGAACCCCTTTCTTCACCTGAAAAGAAGCTGCGGTTCGCGTTTTTTAAAAAGCGCCAGGATTCTTGCTGAAACGGGGCCTTTTGTTAAACTTTCACTATACATGTGTATGTGTATATATATATATAATGTCATAAAGTATATACATTACAATAATATTAGTAAAGCATAATATAACTGTATATCTATATATCTATAATGTCTATGTACTGCACAGCTATCTTACTGTATATGCAGGTATCATGAAGAGAAAGCATCACGAAGAGACATAAAAAATAGATATACACAAAATAATTGAATTGTGATATGTCACTCAACTATATGATGAAAGCCGGAAAGTCGGCTTTAGGAGCAAATTAATTTATATATGTATTATATATATATTTATATATATATATTATGTGGGGATATTCCATATATATATTTGGAGTTGTTCAATGTTTTTCATGCATTTGCGAAACGTGGGATGCATGCGTTTGGGCCCCGGACCACTTTGGGTGCGCTTTCAACCAGCTCCTCATGCCGTGATAGGATCAATAGCTGGGGATTGAACTTTAATAACCAGCAAACGTGGTAGATATGATTAGTTCTCTATATAGATACTATATGTTCGTATAGACAACATGTGTTTTTATTTATTTATCTACATTAAAAAAAAAACTCGATCTAGTATAATTTGATCATGTTTTAACCATATTTTATCTAGTGTATGGCTTTCCACTTGTTTGAAACTAGGCCAACTTGCGATTTCACACATGTTCAGCGTGGTGATTGAGCTGCTGCCGCTGAAGACTTAGTCACACTAGGAGAAACATCATTTGTCTGCACTATGTCCCAGAGGCACAATAAAAAACACGGCAATGGAACAATGCATGGCAATCCCCTTGTAAATATAAAGATGATCACAACGTCTCACAACGAGATAAATGGATATAAAATGATATAACTGTTGAATGCAGTGTAGTTTTTCTATGGATCCAAATACTTCCTAAGAAACTACTTAACGCCCCCGAATGGTACGGCCGGATCAATAAGAGTTACTAACCCTTCGTTACGTTGTCTTTTACAACTTACAACTAGTTGAACTAGATATATTTTTTGGATTTTTTTGGTAACTATCTGAAGTTGGATGGGTGATACAGTGATACATATGTCCCAAGTTTTTTTTCTCTGGAACTCATAACTGCGGGACTTCCATCGAGTGGTGGCCTTCAGCTTACCACAACATGGAAAATATATACAATGTCTGTAAAATGACAACAAGTCTCCACAAAAGAAAGGAAAAAAAAAAAGGTGCGTCAGTCATCCCCCAATTGCACAAATCGTAGTGGATGCCAGGCAGTAACGACCACAGGCTTGTAGCTTAAAATACTCCATCGACCAATGAAATCGCGCTTGATGGAACCAACTCTTCTGTGAGGACTAGACTACCCTCTGGTAAACTAACATAGCTAGTGAAAATGGCCATTTATAGTGGATTTACCCATTAAACAGTGATTTTCCATAGCTATGTTAGTTTACCAGAGGGTAGATCATCCAAAGTTCTTCACAATGTTGAGGTACTGTGGATGGTTGCGAAATCCGAATCACCTGTTGAAAACGGTGGTCTACACATCCCACTATTTTGGATGGGTTTCAACCATCCTTTTGGTGGTGCAGGATTTCGCTGGCCCATCCACAGTATGTCATCCCATTTCATGGGAATCCTGAGATCATATACGTCGATATGTATAAATTCATAACTCCCTAAACTGGATATGACATATAAATATGGGATAACTAAAGTTTGACAATGTGACATAATATTATATTTATATATATATATATATCATATATTATATATATTATACGGTAACTACATTTAAATATACGGATTTTTAAATATACGAATAGGTATTTTAGACTACCTCCGGGAAGGTTTTCCTTGGCCCGCCCAGCCATTTAAACATACGGAATCGAATTCATTTAAACATACTGCAACTACATTTAAATATACGAACTGGTATTTCATACTACCTCCGGGGCCTTGCCGTCTGGCCCGCCCTTCACATATTTAAATGTCGTTACCGTATATATTATATATTATATATATATTATATTTTTATATATATATTATATATATTATATTTATTATATATATATTATATACATATTATATTCTATATATATTATATTATATTATATTATATTATATTTTATTATATTATATTATATTATATTATATTATATTATATATATATATATCTATATGTAATATGTACATGAAATATATAAGTCCCCATGAAATTGGATGACCATCTCCTTGGGACATCACTGACTGGACCATTGATCATGGCTGAAAACCTGGTTTTTTACGCGGACCGCTCCGTCGCTCCGTCGGTCCTTGGCTTCCTTCAATCCAATTTGAGTAATAGCTCGTACCTGACAATACTTCAATTTCAAAGGGATCTGGAGTCTGACTTGGCGTTTGGTTGAGTTTGTTCTATATCCAACATCTGAATGTTTGCCTCTAAAAGTTGTGCCAGCTGTGTTTGCTGGTGAAGTCTCACCCCTTCAAGAGGAGTGAATGGATTGATATATTCAACATGAATCCAGTTATCGTACTCATACGTCATAAACCATCAGACATGTTGACACTTGATACTGCGCCTATTCACTATTTACAAATTTTGATTATCATCTCAGTTGGCCTCCGCAGTTGGGGTGTGCAGCGTGCTCAAGTTCCATTCGAACAGAAACTACTCGAAGTTACGAGTACCAACCATTCAGCAGTCCGTTCACCCTAGCATGGTTATCCCTTGAATGAAGGTCAAACCCCATGAAAATGATTGCTACTATACACCCAAAAGAAAAACAACACTAACAACAACATCGGACTACCCACCACCAGCAATAAACAACCATCCATTGTTGGTCATTTCTATCAAAAAAAATGTTCCTTCATCACGGGCCTGTGCTTACACTGCCTGAAGGCAAACACGGAGCCTCACAAATTTGTGGAATAGTGATTTTCATGTTTGAATCCGGGAGTTCCACCTTTTAAGTCAAAAAACTCACAAGATATAGGGGTATTCCGGCATGACCTATTTTAGAGGAAACATGAGGAAACTACTTTAGTAATCACAAGGGTAGCTGGTTCTCCGTCAGTTCGGGACCAAAAAACACAGCACCTCTTTGACGACATTGATCTTTTTCGCGGCCTCGAAACTCACCTCAATGGCCAAGTTTGCAACATCAAAAAACATCACGCAACAAACCTCCACCAGTTTGGTCATGATGATGATGATGGTGGTCATCACCATCACAAACACCATCAGCATCAGCATCATCATCATCATCATTATCATCATCAGCATCATCAGCATCATCAGCATCATGACCATGACCATGACCATGACTATAACCATGACCATGGTCATCACCATCACCATCACCATCACCTTCACCATCATCATCATCATCATCACCACCATCACCATCATCATCATCACCATCATCATCATCACAACCATCATCATCATCATCACCATCACCACAACCGTCATCATCATCACCACCATCTTCATAACCACGACCATCATCATCATTATCATCATCAACATCAACACCACCAACATCATCATCGTCACCACCATCATAATAATCATCATCATCAACATCATGACCATGGTTATAACCATGACCATAATCATCATCGCCATCATCATCACCATTATCACCACCATCATCATCATCACCATCATCATCATCCTCCTCATCATCATGGTTGTCATCATTGTCATTATGATTGTCATGTTCATGTTCATCATGATCATAATCTTGTTCATCACCCATCACCATCATCCTCCTTATCATCGTTGTCATCATCGTTGTCATCATTGTCATTATGATTGTCATGTTCATGTTCATCATGATCATAGTCTTGTTCATCACCATCACCATCATCCTCCTTATCATCGTTGTCATCATTGCCATGCTCATGATAATCATGATCATCATGACCATCACGATCACCATGATCACTATCATCGTCACAACCACCATCATCTCCTTATCATCGTTGTCATCATTATTGTCATGTTCATGACAATCGACATCACCATGCACTGACACCACCGACCGTCCCAAAATTTGCAATGTCCTGATTTGCATCCGTGTGACTAGCTTCACCGAGACGACTTCTTTCTTCTTCTCTTCTTTCTTAACCTGATCGAACCGTATTCAATGGTGTGGTAGTTGCAATGCCAACGAATGATATGCAACCAACCTGATCTGGATCTGGCTGGTGGTTCCAACTCATCTTTCAAAAACAGAATCTGCAGACTTCGGCACCGGCCTTCATTTCATCCATAGATTTATGAAACTCAACATTTAATGGAATTGTTGAAATGTTCCATCATCCAACTCTGGGAAGCTATATTCCCACTGACACAGGGCATCTCCAAGTAGATGGAGCTTTTCATGCACACCTGCCATGGTACATCTTACGGTCTGCTTGCATTTTAACAACTCTCAAGAAGATAGAAACTGGTTGGTGGTTGAGCCTACCCCTCTGAAAACTATGAGTTCGTCAGTTGGGATGATGAAACTCCTGAACTATGGAAAAACATAAAACATGTTCCAAACCACCAACTAGGAAAAGTAGAATGAGATTCCAACAATCGGAATGTGACTGTTCGTTGCTTAAATTTACGAGTCATTCTTCGAGCGTTCCACCATGAACCATGCAGATGTGCCTCTTCCTTCGGCGCTTCATCTTCTGCCTCGGTTGGGGTACTTTTGACAAAGAAAGATCCAGCTAGAGGAGGCGGTTCCCAAACGTTCGTTGAAACCTTAGTTGAAACCTTGGTTGACCTAGTTAAGAACTGGTTGGTGGTTTCAACCCCTCTGAAAAATATGAAAGTCAGTTGGGATGATTATTCCAGATATATGGAAAAATAAAATTCATGTTCCAAACCACCAACCAGCATTTAATAACTAGGCTGACTAGGATTTTGTGGTTGACATACTGGGTTGTAAACCAACCTATGTATATGTGGGAGGCCCTGTCTGTAGGAAAAATTGGGAGCTCCTCCACAGAGAAAACAGTTCAGGGAGATGAAACCAGCTAGATAAAGTAGGAGATTTCACAGCATGGGCGCCAGCCAATTCGGAAAAGGAAAAATGCCTTTCTGGGAATCGAAAATCCGGAGTCCGTAGTCAATGATCACATGTGATTCCCAGAGAGTATAAATATTCAACCGTAGCGAAAAGGACCTTCCAAAGACTCCCATTCAACAATCTATGTTGACAGTTGATTGTTGATGGAGTCGCCCATCTCCTTGAGTCCCTTCGGTATGACTTGGATGGCCCAAAAAATTGGCATACGGGGGCACAGAATGACTATGGTTCATGATCATTTTTCCCATGAAACTTGCATAAGTTCAGGCTAATGATCCAATTTTCACCAAGTTCCCTCTTTGCAGTTAAAACTAAAACCATCGTTTTTTCATAGATCCGTTATCATAGGCTTCAGCCTTTTTTTTGGGCCGCCAACCCCACGTCACAGCCAAGCACTCCATTCGCTGGGTCCCCGGTCGGCAGGCGCCTCGCTTGCAGCCGCCGCAGGCGCTGCGGCAGGTGCACCGGCCTGGAGATTTGAAGCAGCAAAGTGGGGAGGGGTCCATGGTCCATTAAGCTATCTGGTTGGTGGTTGAGCCTACCCCTCTGAAAAAATATGAGTCAGTTGGGATGATGATATTCCCAACTGAATGGAAAGTCATGAAACTCATGTTCCAAACCACCAACCAGCTATGGATTTCTATTGCTTAATAGGGATAAGACTGGGATAAGAATGGTATCATATTGGGACAATAGAAACATCTGATAATCATGGGATAATGGATATGAATGGATGTGAATCACTTGATTTTCATAGCACCAGATTAACAGGGAAAATGAAGCTTGAATATGATTTATAACTCAGAAACAATAGGGATTTACAGCTGATTTATGATAGTTACCATGGTTTTTTCAACATCTACTTGGAGGATCCACGGATCGTCACTGGTGAACGTAACCATAAAGATTTTTCTCATTCCAAAAGCCCCAAAAAATCCCACCTTCTGGTGAAATCACATTGGTTACAGCCGTTATAAGCAGATTTTTCACTTCAACTGAACAGCTTGAAGAATTTCCAATGGTCGTCCCGTCATCATTTCATCATCCCAATGAAGACAGGAGGTTGTTCAGTAAACAAAACCATCATGTATCACAAAACCATATCTTCTATGGTTCATTTCACTACAAGAGGGCCCCCAAGTAATGGAACTGTTGATTTATCAAAGCTTCAGTAAATGGAACATGTTTGTCCAACTCAGCTATCTAGGCGGGCCTACCTTGTACAAAAGCGTTTATCTGAAAATTTGGTACGTCTAAATCCATCGGTTAGTCACGCTGAGTCATAATTTTCCCATGTTCTATGGCCATTTAGAAGGTATACCCCATTTTCAAACAGAGCCAAATGATAGTTATCACATTTGAGCCATAAAAAATAACCCTATCCCATCTCATGATAGTTGGTTGATAGGTTTCCTTGAGTTATCACAATCCCCAATAAATTAGCAAGTATCAGTCCCAACAGTGATCCTCCCCACTATCCAGTTTCTTTTTCCAGCTCCTCCGCCCCATGCCCCCTTCTTAATCCTGGAAGCGGCAGTTTGGAGCACAGCTGTTTCCCCAATACAGTGCTAGATTTCGCAAATTACAGTATAGTTTGAACCATTTCGAAGAAACACAAACAGTCCCAACAACTTAACCAATCGACAGGGATATTTCAAATGGCTCATGTACAACACCACCCGACCTGTGGCATCATCCCAGGCGCTGGCATGGCTGGCATGGCCTAGGCGAGCCACCATCTTCCAATGTGTACCATATATGGGTACAGTTGTTGGCCATGGGATATCACTCAAAGTAGGTTACAAGACACTTATAACTGTGAGGGGCTAGGTTAGGCTATAACTGCAGGATTTATAATGCATAACTATGGATTTCTTATGGATATATAGATACAAAACTGGATGGGACTATTTGGTGTATGTTGAATTTCCAAGAGGGGCAGCACTGTCCCCCCATAGTGGGGTCCTGGAACTGTAATTTGGTTCATGCATTCAACTGTAGATATGTCCACCATGGATCCTGGTTTTTGGAGTTATAACTCAACTAAAGTCAATCTTCACGCAGACCTTCTCCTTACGACAAAGGACCCTCTCCTTACCCAAGTCTTTACCAGGAAAGACTCGGGTAAGGATACCGCGAAAAGCACAGTATCACTACCCAACTCCCGCAAAATCGGAGTGCTTGGCCCACAATGAATCACTCAGCTGATGACATCTACTGTATCCTTTGGACACTGCCGCCAGAAGTCATGGCTCTCAGGAAGGTCGAACATTCCTGCAGCATCGCAGAGGTGCCTCAGCATGGTCTGCAACACATTGATGCTCATAGCATCACCGACGGCTGCTCCAAAGGAGCCTGCTGGCAAATCCTGGGCCGCAGCCATCAGGGCATTTGTCACAGCCGAAGGCAGTCCTTGAAGCTTGGCCATCTCAAAGTCATTGAGACGACGTAAAAGCTTCGGAATGTAGAACCCATGCTGTTTGCACCTGGTCTTTGTGAGGCAAGGACAACAATTCCTCAAAATCGATTGGAACTTTGCGGATGCTTGCGCATCCATGACGTAGCCTTGTGTCCACATATTGGACCCCAGCCTCCTTTCATAGTTCGGCAGGTCTTCTGAAGAAAGGTATGTAGATCTGGGTGCGTAGCCCGAGGTTCTGGTATCCTCAAGGGCTTGTGCAATAATTCCTTGCAAATAGCCAGCAGCTACAGACGCGGCCGGCTTTGAGGGATCAACATCGGGTGTTGACAGCGCCAAACACCCTTTCCAGGGTGCCTGACCCTTCGTTTGATGAATGACAGTCCTTGATGCGCTATGGAGTCAGTGAACTGGCGAGTAACTGGCTTATATTCCTTTATAACGTAGTTGGTTTTATTTCATGGTTCCAATCCACTTACAACTGAATATACCGTAATCTAAAAATAGCTACCCATATCATGGTTAAATCACAATTTTTGGTTCAACCCCCTTGTTTGGTTATTCCAAATTTCCATATGGGGGTATAGGAAGCCCCACCAGGCTGCAAGTTTCGCTTAACACCAGCAGCTGCCATTGAATAAAGAAAAATGGAAATCTATATTATCTAAATAGTCTACAAGATCATGTACATCAGCAATTTTGGCCTACATGATTTACCATCCATAAACCAGCATGTATACAGATATGTGATTTAACAATTTCTTTCCATTATCTACATTTGTGTTGGCCTACATTAAAAACAACAATTTACCTAGAATCCAAAAAGAAGCATATATAGTCATATATATATACAGATATGTTATGTAAATATCGATCAATATTGCATACATCATCCAATAGATCACTTATTTTTTCCTCGGCAAAAACATGTCATTGGCATCCACTTTCCGCCCAGGTACACCAGGCATTGGCATCCCAGGAAACATCCCCATGGGGTGGGGAAACCTCAGGTGTTGGCGTGGTCAAGCCGGGTGAAGTTTGGAGTTCTGAATGGTGATTCTTAGTTTAATGGTGTCTACTGATGAATGCTAACTGGAGTTTACTGATTTCACTAGTTTGATCAATTATTTTTTGTGATGGTTTAAGTGGTTCAATCAGTTCTAATGATGTTGAAGTAGTGATGTTTCAGCAAGTTTAGTGATTCAACGTGATGTTTGAGATGTTTAATGATATTTACTCATTTCCAGTGATGGTTATTGACTTTTGAGATTGAAACCTATGGATTTGTTTGATACTTCAATGGAAAGCATGGGAAAAAACCTGTTGACCCAGCTCCAAAGGAGTTAGTACACCCCTGGAAAACAAATTTGGAATATCACAACTTGTAGTTTTCCATTAAACTGATTATCAAGCTGCTGGATGTGAGATACGATCTGATATTGGATGGATTCCAGGAGTGAATCCAACATAATTCAACCATATGTTTAACGGTTTAACCGTCCAAATAGCCCGTAATGATTACAGTATAATGATTACCTTCGTATTAACCCCGGATTAACACACATTGCTTGATCCAGAAGCAGGCGCTGCCCCAAAATAGTAATGCCATCTGCAATATTGTACTATCATGCTACTACCACCGGAATTGTTGGGGCATTTTGGTCTAGTTACCCTAACTATCTATCATGCCAGTGTCGTCGCAGTGAGGTTGTTTCCGGCCCATGATTTACGTACTGGGCCGCTGGGCCAAATCATAGAATGTGTCATTGGTTCCATTCCCAGGATTTATTCATGATATCATCCATCCCTTCTAATGCAAGGTGGCACCAGAAACCAGTCGTAAGTTGATCTAGACAAAAACCCATCCAGCTAATTCGATTACAGTAATCTCGACCATTTTTATCCAATTCTTGGTCCTGGCTAAGTAGAAAAAACACCACCGCTAGGAGTTCATCATATTAATCTGGCTGAAGGATACTTCACCAAGGTCCTTTGGGGATAATTCCCTGTCCCAGCCGTAATTTCGGATGACGCAACGTCGCAACGTCGTTATTTTTCATCGTATACCCATAGGATCCATGGTGCTGCTATATATGGTAACATTTACCATCAATATACCCCCAATGTTGGCATATATACCAGCACCATGGATCCTATGGGATACTGTAGCGTAGTGTAATTTAGTGTAGCGAAATGTAGTGGAGTGTAGTTGTAGTTGTAGTTGTAGTGTAGTTGTAGTTGTAGTGTAGTTGAGTGTAGTGTAGTGTAATGTAGTGAAGTGTAGTGGAAGGTAAGTGTAGCGTAGTGTAGTGCAATGTAGTGTAGTGGAGTGTAGTTTAGTGTAGTGAAATTTGGTGTAGTGTAGTGTAGTGGAGTGTAGTGGAGTGTACTGGTGTAGTTGTAGTTGTAGTTGTAGTGTAGTGGAGTGTAATGTAATGTAGTGTAGTGTAGTGAAGCAAGCGAAGCGAAGACATCTGAACCTCCAAAAGTGGTCCGAACCCCTCGTGTTTTTGACATTTTGACTTCGAAATGTGCTTCGCGCCACAACGGCGTGCACTTTTTCGACATCTGAACTTCCAAAAGTGGCGCGAACATGTAGGGCTTTGTACATTTTCACTTCGAAATGTGCTTCGCGCCATAACGGCGTGCACTTTTTCGACATCTCAACTTCCAAAAGCGGTCCGACGCTGAGGTGTTTTGTACATTTTGACTTCGAAATGTGCTTCGCGCCACAACGGCGTGCACTTTTTCGACATCTCAACTTCCAAAAGTGGTCCGACACTGAGGTGTTTTGTACATTTTGACTTGGAAATGTGCTTC